TATATATATATATATACTATATTTGTGAGAAACACAAGCAAATCGTTATTTGAAGTAATTCATAAATTTGATTTAATTTATTGCATACAATTTATTTCAATCTGTAATTGGATTAATTTTAAATCACTTATTAAAATGGGAAATTACATACATTTGCATATATTTGATATTTTTTTATTTTTTAATATTTTGGTAGGTATATTATTAAGATATATTAAAGTTGAGATTATTGAAGCTTTTAGATTTTGAGTAAAGAACTTATATTCTTTGAAGAGCCAGTTTTACTTAAAATTTGAAACAAAAAACAATTAAATTAAGAAAGTTTTATGAAATTAATTACCTCAGAGAGTGGTGTTTTAAAAATATATTCTCTTATTTGAAATAGTGCCGATCTGATGCTCTCGAACGAAATATGATTTTGTAGTGATTTGTTTTTCTGTAAGCCCAGTTCTACTATAAACTACAAAAAAAGTACATTAGCAAACTTATATTTTTGCACGTTTCATGAATATTACTCCGAATAGAATATTTGAGACAGAAGGAATATTATTTTCGAACTTTCTATAACTATTTTCGAAATATGCAAATATTATCATACATACGCATGTATGTATGTTATGCAATGAGCATTGAATTTTAAAATTATGATTGATTGAATTTGCAATACCCAGAAATGGAGCCTTTTTGATTTTTTTCGTCGATACATTGGAAAAACTATAGTATAAAAAAATGGGAAGACATCGATCTCTTTCATTGCCTTCCTTTCCATTCTTCTGTTTATTACTAATGGACACAGATTTGAAAAATAAAAAGATACTTATTCGATGAAAATCACTTGATACGTAATTGCAAGTGATCTGCAGTGTCAAAGAATAACGTCAAGCTTGATTTGGCTCTCGTCAGAAACTAATCTCTTCCTTGTCAAGAACAGATATTATTTTCTTGTACTTGTTATTAACAACTCATCATTCAACCTTTCTCGAAGTTTCTGTTTTTTTTCAATAGCTATCATATTTATGATATATATACAGGGTGTCCCGACTATTTTGCCAATCACTTTTGTGTAGATAGAGCGGACTAAACTGAGTCGAAAAGTCTTCTATCATTTTGCAATTTTCGCAATAGTGTGTTAACAAGATATTAATTACTAAAAATTGCAAAATATTGGTCTTGAATAATTTTTTACTCAAATACTATCAACTTTACAGAAAAACTGCAACAGACAAAAATTATTTATTTTCTTCTCATAAAGTTTTGAGAATTTTTTCAGAATTTTTAACAATTTTTTCAGAATTTTTAGTACTGTATTTTCATATTTTTATCAACATGAGAAAATACGATATTAAAAAATTCTGAAAAAATTCTCAGAATTTTATGAGAAGAAAATAAATAATTTTTGTCTCTTGCAGTTTTTCTCAATTGGTAGCATATCCCTTGAGTCCTAATAATTGAAAAATTATACGACTACGGATGAAACTATTTCTCTTTCAAATAATAATAATAATAATAATATTTCTTTTGCTATGCAAAAGAATCATACTTATATTTTTGATATTTCAATTGTCTTAAACTTCTTACAAGAATTTGATATTGTATTTCATTTACGCAGCCAGTGATAGTATTAAGATTTGTACACCTTTTGTAGAGATTTCTTTTTGCCCTCTCTATGTGAGTCATAGAGAAGTATTTATTATACAGATGTTGGAGTAAAATTTTATTAATATCGGAACTGCTCTTTCCGCATTGTTATGCGTATATTTGTACCATTACTGAGATTTGATAATCTCGATCTGGCAAAACTCGCTGGCTCGTGTAAAGTAGCCACGGCAGTGTCGCTGCGCTTGGCTTAGCGCCGAGACACTACCGTGTTTCCAGATTCTGTATTTTTATAATAAAATTTTATGAAAGTTAATATTTTTTAAATTATTATTTTGCTTGTTTCTGTTTATTCATTTTTGAAAAATAATTTTAATTAAACTTAAGTTATATCAATTCATATGAAAAAATGTGTAATAAATCATATTATTTTTTGTGTCAATCTCTGATTGTCAAGCAAAGGAAAAATTGCCCGATTTATATAATCGAAATATATGTACATATTTTTTAATTTCATATACTTTTCTTTAGAACGCATCATGTATGTATAATCTACATATATACGTTTTTATTGCTCGTTTTTTTGTTTAAGAGATGAAGGAACGCTGAAGGAAATTAATTAAAATTATTTTCTTACGTGTATACTAATACTTTATTTCTTTGTCATGTACCATATGTTAAGAGAATATTATAATACGAATATTTCCTATTAGTTACATATATTTGTTCAAATTGAAGAAACATATAATATATATCAGTTAATCCCGATAAAAATGTTATATATACATACTTTATTATTAGAATGTTTTATATATAACATATTTTATATATTATGACATATTTTATATATAAAATTTTTTAAACGTGTATAAACGTGATTTTTTTAGTATTACATAAATATTTATCAGTCTTAATAAATGAGCCCCTTAATTGATAAGTGGCACAAGTCCAAAATTAGGAAAAATGCGTTTGTTATAGAAGTAGAAAATATCAAGAATGTTTGTTTTATCTATTAATTTAATTTTATTTTGTTTTATTTTGTTTTTATGTTCATAAAAAATAAAAATCAATTTTACATCATAAATAAAGTGACCGTAAAAAAAGCTGGACTTAAGTCC